CAAACCTCATCAAGCACTTTCCCTTGAGAATGCTGCAGAAAACAGGAGGTACCTTGCGTGTCACAAAGAAGCAAGTTACGTTTGCTCCCACTGAAGTCTATTGTTGAAACTATTCTCAATGCAGCAGCATTTAACTAATATTGGGAATAATCAAGAGATTAAAAACTCTATCTTAGCAGTAGATTTTGATGGATATTGGTTTCAAATGGAAATGAATAGACACAAAATATATTTTTAGAAACAGAAGTACTGTCAAAGGAAACCTAAGTCTGTTTGGTACCACTCTGAATTTGTGTGTTGTGGACCTGTAAGTAACTCCCTAGACCGCTGAGATAGCAGTAGCAGAAATTTGGCCACAAATTGTATGCATCAATGTACAATCTCCGCTTTCACCTGCAGATTAAAAAAGCGATAGGATTATGCTGAGGGAAAGAAAATTCAATGCCAAAGGCAATGTCAATTGTAAAAGGACACAGTGGACAAACAATCTTTTCAGAGGCCAAAACAAGGGGTATATAAAAAGTTAGCCAGCATGATTTCTCCACTGACAGCAGACAAACTCTTTACCACTCCTGTCAATTAAAGATCTTTGCATTATTGTTTGTTAATGTATTAAATTTCAACTGGATGTGCAACAATTTAGTCAACTATTATGTTACTTGTTACATTTATATAACCTTTCAATTTTAATAGTAAAAGTAACGTAATAAGTACCACTGAGTTTCTAACTTTTTATATTTGAATCAAAACTAAAATTCTGTGTTAAAGATAATAAGTTTATATTTCTATTAAGTCATTTCAAATAATTTCAATGGTGTATCATTTATCTAAATAAAATGGAACTATTACATTTGCTTTATTGAATAATTTGTAAAAATCAAGCCTACTATAGGCATATCTTAAAGTACTAATTCACTTTAGTACATTATGTACATATGGATATTATTTTAGAATGTTAGTCATTTCGTGATCAGAATATACAGCAGAAATATATTAATGAGAAAGGGTTAGTGAAGAAGGCAAGTGAGTTGATCTGGGAATAGAAAAACTAGCACAGTGGTCTGTGATAATCGTTTGCTACCCTTAACACATCTATTAGATTTTATATTGGGGGAATCTTCAATCTATAATTCCAATATGTTTTACTCAAAATATTTAGCACCTGCTTTTATATGATAGAAACACAAATATTGTAATATTATAATGACAACTAAGTTAATTCCCTGCCTCAGATTTCTCCCCATATAAATACATTTCAGTCCTAATACTAGATTCTTCTTTCTGGGACCACAGTTTTGAGCCTGCAGACATTCTGCTGGGTCACATTTTTTAAAATTTAAAAAAAAAATCATAAAATTTGCCTGAGTTTAGTTCACATTTCTGGTGAAACTGAAGTATTTATATTTACAGAAATTGAGCTGTCTTGCATCTTTTTCATAAGTTGGGTTCTTTCTTGCACATAAACATTCTTCCCCAGCACTTCTAAAGGCTTCAATTTCTTCACTTTTCCTAAAATTTTGCATGTAAATCTTCCCTCCACGGAGACTTCCTTGTTCTCTTCAAGGGGATGACTCTCTCCCCCTCAGAGTCTGCTCTGTCAGAACGTCACGTTTAATCTACAGTTTAGCTGCTTACGTTTATGTGGACCATCTGCTCCTTCCTGATGAGGGCTGACTGCAGGTGGACCCTAGAGCACCCTGAACATCTCCTGTGCCTTCCTACATGACCTGGCCCTGAAGTCCTCCTGGGGTCCTCATCTCCCACCACATTTGACCTTACCAAGTTCCGCTGCTCACAGGACATTCCAGGCAGGGCCTTTCACATTTAGCACACTGGGCTCAATACCCCTTCCTTCCTCATGGTGTCCAGCTGCTGTTCGTGCTACTCAGATGTTTGTTTCAATGTCACCTCCTTGAGAGTGACTCAGAGGTATTGGGTGATACTCAGTTCAGTGATTTCTTTCTGATTAGCTGACAGTTTGCAGGGAGAAGGGGGATATGTGGTTTGAAAGGAGCAAGGAAAAGGATGAAAGACACCTTCCCAACAGGAAGTCCTGTCGTGTGTGGCTTCTGGGAGAGAAAACGGCCACCCTTTCATAGGGCACCATTAGGAGCCATGTCCCTAGGGGATGTGTGAGAAAAGCGAGGAGAACCTGCCGCAATAGCTTGTGTGAAAGGAGGAAAACCATTTGACAACATCTTGAACTCTAGTGGAAGAAATGATGGCGATTTCAAATGAGTGTGCATGTGTATATGAGTGGGATGGGGGCAGTGCTCACTGAAACACTGTGACAACTAGCTCTTTCCTGAGTGCAAGCTTTTTAAAGGGAGACAACTGGATTCAGGTCTATATAAAGGTAAACAATGAATTTTACCCCAATAAGCTTGTCTCCATTGTTTTTTAAAAAATGAGAATTAACACTGAGCCGATTCTGGAAGGTTATGGTTATAACTAAAATAATAAAATGAAGGTGAAATATTAAGCAAAATACATTTGCAAAGTAAGTACTAAATGAACAAGAGGTATTTCTGTTTATTACTATTATTATAGTTATTATATAAGAAGTTATACTCTACTTCATCTAGGCGAGGGTTAAAACAATTCACTTAATGTGTCTGAAAGGATATGGAAGTTGACTATTTGATGAAATTACCCTATGATCAAATTATGCCTGTGTTTATAGAAATAAACCAGGTTTAAAGGGTAATAAATTGGCTTTAGATACCCTAAAGCACAACCTGCAGGCCCAGGGTAAATGCCTCAACCAGCCTTTCTTCCACAATCCCCAGGGGCCGCCACTTCCACAGTACTGCAGGGACCTGCCAACCTGGATCTCTCTGGCTCCTGCTCCCTGAGAGCGTCTGCTCTACATTCCTCTGCTCCTTATTTCAAGAAAAGGAAAAGTTGTGAAAGAAAAGATTCAGACTAAAAAAAAGCAAAGTTAAGAAAAAAAAACTCTAAATATGTGAAACTATTGTATTACAGTTGATTTTTGGATTTAATTTTTTGTTTTTGGAGATCACATGAGTATATATTTATAAATAAATTGATATAGAAATAAATGTATGTTTATTGTTGTTTCCTTTGTAAACTCAGCAGTCTCTTTAACAAGCCAAATTTCTTGCCTGAAAGTTACTGTATCTATATAATCATTTACCAGTAAAGGAGTGAAAGACATGCCATCCCCCAAATAGCAAATTGGAATACTGATTACTTTGCGTTAAAAACATAGGAGCAGTGGTTGTTTCAGAAAGGGCCAGCTGATCATTCTCTTCCTACATGCGCGAAGCCATAGAGATCCCTCGGCAGGTACACCCTCCATGTACCAGCTGTGAAAATAGCCCTCACACCAGACACTGGGATCTGCACTGCAATGGATCAGAATGAATACACTTACCTAAGTAATCCTTCTACAAGTTTTACTCCCCTTCATATACCTCCTAATGACTCACCTAGAAATGTATTACTGTTAGCCGATCCCCTTTGTCCTGTCATTTCTTCTTGGGAAAATATAAAATTGTCTCTCTTTGGCCACTTCTTCAGACTCCATGCTCTTGTGAAGAAGTCCCTGTATATGTAAAATTAATAAAATCTGTGTGTTTTTAGTGGCATCATTCCTCCAGTGAAGTGGAATGTTCTGTTACAATTCATAATTAAAACAAACAGATTTATAGCTTTAAGCAGAATGCAGGAGGTGGAAGAGATGTACTAAATACCTGGTTTAATAAAATAGCAAAGCTTGAGGCATTGAATGATAACACGTGTCAGGAAATATAATAACAAATAACCCAATATATGATTTTATTTCCAAAATTCCAAGTAGTCCTATGAATGCCATAGATTGCCTATTAATTAATAACCAAGTTGTTTTTGCTTTGGAAGCATATACAGATTTTTTTTTCCAAAAACTGAAATAGACAGTTTATATCACTAGGCAATAGAAAATAAGCTAATGCAAGAGGCCTCACCATTATTAGTCATCAGGAAAATGCAAATTATAAGCAAACTCAGTTCCTACTACACTCAGAATTGCTAAAATGAAGAAAACATCAATATTTGGAGCAACTGGAACTTGTGTGCATTGTCAGTGGCAGTATAAGAGTAAACAATCACTTTGAAAACAGTTTACTAGAGTTCATCAGACACCTACCAAGAAAAATAAAAACATATTATTACAAATAGGAGATTAACAGACATTTCAATCATAAGAGCTTCAAACTTATAATAACCCAGATGCCCATCAGCAAAATAATGGATAAACAAATGATGAAATTTTCCAAAAACGAAATACTACTTAGCAGTAAAAGAAGAGCAACATATCAATGAGGTAAAAATGTGGAGGGATTTTAGAAATATATTAAGCTGAAAGAAGGAAACAAGATTCAAGACAATACTACTGGTTTCCTTTGATATGAAATTTTAGAATAGCCCAAACTAATGAACAGAGATAAAAATTAGAGCAGTGGGTGTATCTTAGGCCTGGGGTATCACTGGAAAAGGGCCTGCAGGACTTTCTGAGGTGGTGAAAATGGTATCTCTTGATAATGCGTGATTACCAGGGTAGATATTTGTGGAAATCAGTTGAAAAGGAACACCTTAAATGTGAGAATTCTGCTGTGTGTAAGCTACACCTCAATTTGAAACAAATGGCAACAATTAACCTTCAAAACTGTTTGAATGGTGAATTCATTCTTTGAACAAAATATTATTGTGAGGTATGATGTAAAACCATCTTACTAAAAATTAGTGATTTCACCGATTTTTAACAATTCATAATTTGATTGGATAATGATAGCTGAGTAAATGAACCCAAGGAATGAAGATTTATCTGCAATTCAAAGCAACACATACACACACACACACACACACACAAACACACAGAGAGACAGAGAGAGACACACACAACAGATGTAGATATAAAAGTGTATATTCCTCATCTCTAGGAAATTCCACACAAACACTTTGCACAGTTTAGAATGTTGGAGCAAATATATATACTCTTATTCATGACTTAAGGCCACACACCGACCCATACACCTTGTCAGGGCTCCCTTGACCTCACTGTTCCTCACACTGTAGATGAGGGGGTTTAGCAAAGGGGTGAACACAGTATAGAAGGCTGACACAACCTTATCGTGGTTAGTGGACCTATGAGATTTGGGTCTCATGTAGGTAAAAATGGCGGCTCCATAAAAGAGTCCCACCACAGCCACATGTGAAGAGCAGGTGGCAAAGGCCTTCTTGCGGGCTTCTGTAGAGCGCATGTGGAGAACAGCGGCGAGGATGAGACCATAGGAGGACAGGATGAGGGACAAGGGCACCAGGAGCATTAACACACAGCAGATGTACATGGCGTTTTCGAAGACTGAAGTGTCAGCACAAGCCAAACGCACCAGCACGGGGGCCTCGCAGAAGAAATGATCGAGCTCGTGCGCCCCGCAATACGGGAAGCTCAGGGAAGCAGCAGCCTGCAGGAGCCCGTCAGCTGCACCCAGGAGCCAACACGACATGGTCATCCTCAGGCACAGCTGCCAGCTCATGAGCATGGGATATCGGAGTGGGTGGCAGACAGTCACGCAGCGGTCATAGGCCATGGCTGCTAAGAGGAAGCACTCTCCGCCCCCCAGCGTGGGGAGGAAGAAGATCTGCGCACCGCAGCCGGCGGGGGAGATGGCCTTATTTCCGGTCAGGTAGTCAGCCGCCATTTTGGGCACAGTGGTGGAAACCAGCATCATGTCCATGAGGGAGAGTTGGCTCAGGAGGAAGTACATGGGCGTGTGGAGCCGGCGGTCCTGGTGGATCAGGAGAATCATGAGGGCATTGCCAAACAGGGAGGTCAAAACAATGGCCAGAAGCATCACGAAGAGGACTTGGTGGGCTGTGCTGTGGTTAAAGAAGCCTAGGAGAATGAAATAAGAGGTAGAGCTCCCATTTTCCATGATTTCACATAAGAGTGACACTGCAGATGGAGAAAAAGATGACAGTGTTTATCCTTTATGGTATTCCATTTGAGTTATATAGTTCTTGAAAAGTACTTGTGTGAAAGCAATGAAACCTATGTCAAATCTTTCATTTGCCACTTGCAAATTGTTCTAATTTGTGCATAAAATTAATTCAACTTTTTCTCATTTCCAAGGATTAATTATAAATTCTTCTCAAGCTGAGTATTGATTAATTTTATATAACAAATCCACGTTCTGGATAAGTTGCAAGTGACCTGTCAGAATGATTTTGCTTTATCTGATACCATCATAAGTGAGTGGGAATGAAATTATTCACATAATTTGTCATTTTATTTGTGCTTGAGTTACATCATGCATAGTCAATATTTTAGGAGCTGAATTAAGTCAATATATTTCATTATATAAAACTACATCCTTGATTATGAAGGTTGTGGGTCTATAACATACCAAAACTCATTGAAACCTACCACAATCAGGTGGTTTCCCCTGACTTAATCCAAGAAGACTTTTTTTAACTTTCTAAACAGGGTGACTTATGTTCTCAGGTCTGGAAAGACTAAGTCTGCAAATGAAAACATACTTAATTTGGAGTTACGAACACATTTAGTCCTCCTTTATAGGTGATAGCCTGAAAACAGTACTGACATTCTTGGATATTTTTTATTTCTTTGCAATTTAAGAGTATAATGGTAAATACACATTTTCATTAACTGTACAAGGTACTTTGTTGCAATGAGACTTTTTCTCATCAGTCCACAAGCATAACCTTTACCAGGTACAGGAGAAAAAAGAAAAGTAAGATCTTTATCCAATCAAAGAGATAAATTAGTTTTTTCTTCAGTCTCAAGAGAAATGAAATCTTTATAGGCATTTTCCTCTTAGATCTGCTGGTGCAGGAAGTTTTCTACCTTGTTGAATAATGTGGCCACACCTGCATATCAATGCTGATTCAGTCTCAACGATATGGTCTAATTCAGTAAAGTTACATGGCAGAAGGAGCCCATCTCTTCCATGGGCATTCCCTTAGCCTCCACTTTTTGTATCCACCCTAAACTCAAATGTCAATCATGACTGGGAAATGCAGTGCAGTTGGGTCAGTGGATACCAGGGTGCATTAGTTGAGCATCATAATTTTACTGGCAGCACAATACCTGAGGGTTTTATTTGGTTGTTTAAAATATCATGGAAATATACATATTTCCTTCTTGACAAATAAATTCTGCATTTGACAAAACTTTGTCATATTCACACCCTGGTATCTCTAACATGCACATTTCTTTTCTTTTTACTTCTTAGAAAATGCAATAACATGTACCTTCTACATGTAGGAACTATACAAAAATCTCTAATTATAGTCCTCAGTGTCATTTTGCTGAAAGACCTCAAAGCCTCCTAACTCATTTCTTTCACTTGATGTCTCCCATTTCTCTGTTTTTTCAACCTTTCTTAGTGTTGAAGATTGATCAGGTTTAAATATCTTTTAAAAAATCAATCTGTAATGTCATAACTGTAGGGTGTTGGACAAGTTTCTTAAATTATTTTTTTCTATCATATTAACTATTTTTAAGTGCACAGTCAGTACAGTGGCTTCATGTTGTATGACCGTCCACAATATCCATCCACATTGTGTGTGTGTGTGTGTGTGTGTGTGTGTTTGACTGTCTTATTTCATTTATCATAATGTCCTCAAGTTTCATCCCATGTGTCAGAATTTCCTTCCTAAGGGTGAATACTATTTCATTCTCTGTATATATAACAGTTTATTCAGTTATCCAGTTATAGCCATTAATGTTGCTCCCACTCACTTCAGCTGTATGTTTAAGGATCAATTTAATGGCATGTTTGATAAAAGATGTTAGCTGTTGTTGCTGTTGTTGTTTTTGGTAAGGTAAACATATATAGCATAAAAATATAGCAATTTCAATTAATTAGCCGCTTAAATTATGCCAGACTGGTTCATATGTTTTCAGAGAATAATCTCAACAACATGCATGACTTTTCAGTTCAGGAATAATAATTCTGAAATAAAAATTCTGAAATAAATAATTCTGAAATAAAAATAAAACTTCGTAATAATTTTCTTATTATGAAGTTCCTACTATGATTAAGTAGTTTGTAAAATTTGATGTCATTAGCTTGTACCTTTTCAGTGAAAATAGATAATATTTCTATTCTTTATGTTTAGGTGGAATGAAAATTCTTTATTTCCAGGTGTATAAAAATTATCAGTTTTTATCGGTCTAACTGGTCATCATGCCATAGCATTCAGATTATTTCATGAAATGATCAATTAAATGTGTTAAGTAAAATTAGTAGATAACTGTATTTTTCTATGATGTGATAATATTAAATTATTTGCTTTATTAAAATTACTGTCTATATTTTTATGTTACAAAGCTGAGATAATTTGCCACTAATTAAAATGTTTATGAACCTACAAAAATGATTATTTGGGGTAATTTTTTAAAAAAATTGACCATGGAAACAAAGTATAGTTAAATGAAAAATGAAGAATTAAATAATCTTACTAATAAAATATCTATAATTTCATTTAAAAGAAGATTGAAAATTCAAGACTGACTACTGTAGAAAGAAGTATGATAAAGTATTGCCCTGAAAAATAAATATTTTCCTTTTCTTTCTTCACTATAGCTTAAAAAGCTAAAGAATTTTGAGCTATATTTTCTTCTGTCCCCATAGTTTCTTACTTAGAATGGTGATAAAATGTGGACATCTTTACTTTAAATCACACTGATCTCTTTTGCAATGCTCGTAGAAGGCACGTATATATCCCTTCCTTTTTCTCATCAATAACTTGTTGAGTAATCATAGAACATTGAGAACAATGCCTCTAACATTCCATTCTGTACGTTTCTGATCCCTGTTGCCAAAACTTAATAGTAAAACTGTAACTCTCCTCCCCAAGATACTGAAATGATTAATCAATTTGTTCTGTCAGAAAATAAATTGGAAACAGCCAAATCATAAATTTGACAAAATTCACAGGTTATTACAAGAATTTAACCTGATGACTGTCTCAGCTAGTAGGTTTTGATTCTTCAGGTTGTAGAATGGATAATAGAATTTTATTTGTAAAATATATAAAGATGTATAGCTGTGACTTCTCTGGAGTTCAAACTTTACAGGAAAATTATTAGTATTTACAGAATCACAGATTGTCTACTTACAGAAGATAAAAGTGATGACTGCTTCCAAAAGGCTGGATCCTGTCTGAGCAGCATTGTCTTAATGCCTCTTTGGGTGGAGAAAAGCTCTTCCAGCCTGGCTGTATTGGCTTCTCTTATATCAGTGTCTATACTCTACTTCTTAGGGGTGTGGCCTAAATTAAATCTGATTAATAAACCAGAGAGGCATAAGCTTGCCACTTTGATTGCCAAAGATGTTTAATTTTCGGTGACATTTTATAGACACCCATAATTTTAATATACTTCCAAAATGCTTTTGGAAAGCTGTGATTTATTGAAAGAGGAGAATTCTTTAGGATCAAAAATGACATGTAAACAGATGTTCATGGAAAAAGATGATGCTTAAAAATACATTAAGGGGGTGAGGTAATGTGGCTCTGGCATTGTCTGTGGTTTAATTATGGGAAGATTAAACAGGTATGCTATTGAAAGATCAGCTGTTGTCAAAGAGAGTAGTTGAAATAAAAAGAAACCGTGGTAGAATCCATGGTAGTTTCCTTATTGAACTAAACTTGACAGAATCTCTGCTGCATTATAAGTATCAGTATTTTTGCATCTCTGTGATATAATTGTATTTTTTAATATTTTATATGTGTGTATCTATGTAATAAAATCAGTGATAACAACAATAGTAACAACAGATTGTATTCACTGTGCCAGGCACTTTGTGATTTGATTTTATCTGGGGCTGCTTTTTGTGATTGTTATTTCTTCTTAATATTTTCTACTGTCAAGCACCCTTGGATTCTGGCTCCACCTTTTGCAAGTTTTGTGAACTAGGGCTTCACTACTAGTATATATAAATCTCAGCTTCCAAAACTGTAAAAAATATATATATTTAAACAAAATTTCTCCTGGAATAGATCATGGGGAAAGCTGCTCCTACACAAAACATGAGAAACTGTAATTGCTTATTCCAAGTGAAGTTGTAATTACCACTGTTTTTGTTTAGAAGGCAAGCCCATTATAGATTTTAGTGACACCTCTGCCTTTGCATGTTGGATCTTATTGAAGTGGGCAATCCTACTCTGATTTAGAATGTTATTGATCACATGCAGTCTACAGTTAAAGTCAGGTTATCTTATTTCCTGTGAAAAAAACCCAAATTCCTGGCTAAGTGCAAGCAGTAAGTCATAGATATTTAGTATATCAAGTTACAAATAAAACTTTCAATGAAAGTTTACCTATGACTTACAATAAAAGTTTTATCTTTCCATGTTCTGAACACTAATGTCTCTGGGTCCCAGGGGTATCAGTATGATGGTGTAGTAACACAGGGCGGCTACTGTCCGATGGAGGGAGTGGCCTTTTGCCTTAAGTAGATCAGTCTCTCTGAAGGACTGTAGTGTGTGAGAGAATTAAGGTCAGACAAGCTGTGAGTCAGATGAGAAAAAGATGTATGTACTGCCCAGAGTGCCACAGAAAAACACAAAGGACAGTGATGCTGGGTAGCTGAGTTGAGATTAACTACTATGTGGGCACAATTTACAAAAACCAAAGAGAGGCTATGCTGAGTCCCTACACCAGCAAGACCTTGACCTTCTGCCCACTCTCCTCTTGATGGCATGTGGGGATAGACCAGCTTCCAGATTACAGATGGGCTATATGGAGGAGGCCACCTCAAAGGTGACTCTGCCAGAGGGCATAGTCAAGAATCCACAGATCAGCAAGCCTGAGCAGGAGAAATAAATATCACTTAGAAATTCCTGAAAAAAAGGCTGAGATGGAGATTTAGACATTCAGGAAGCTGACCGAGGAGTGTTCCTAGTGTCAATTCCTGTGGCCTTAATGAAGCAAAATTGGGCACAGGGAGAAAATGAACTGTGATGCAGTCACAACTATGGTCTCGGCTACTCCTTGGATGAACTCTGAGATTACCCTTCCATGTTGTCTTGTAGTAGGCAAATGTCCCAGTGTTTGTGTTCCCACAGAAGAAATTTTTACATGTGACTTGCCCACAGAAAGCGAGCATAAGCTTGGGTGAGGCAGTTTACCTCAACTGGGAACAGTGACTTGAGAAGGACTTAGCTGAGAGCTGTCAGATACTAATTCTCCTGGCAGCTGGAGGAACAAGTACTTGAAGTACTTCCCACTTAAGTGGGGAGTGTGGAGAGCACATGACACTGTACACTGTACATTACACTGCATGAGCCAAACTCGATCAGAAGTCAGTGTGAAGGGAGCCCCTGATGCTATTCACACAGGTGTATTCCTGTAGCACAGAGCAGGGGGGTCACTTGGAGGGCAGGTATAGACGACATCTAGAAACAATTACCAGGGCACTAAAATATGTTTGCTTGGAAGTTCTAGTTCCAACTGAAAGGTAAAAGTTGGTTTGGAATTTGCCAACTAGGAATATACGGGCCTGAGGAGCCGAAATGGAAACAGCTTCCCTCTCTTTCTGACCAGGCACTCCCTTGCACCACGCACACTTATCTTATTGTATGCTTGTTGAAAGATTCTAGGGACTAATTTTGAAACAAGCCAGGCA